TTTCTATCAGAAACCAGCCGGGTTAAATGGGTCGAGCGGGTGTGGACTGTTGGATCTCAACGGTCGAATTGATCGAACGACCAAGATAAACAAAGTGACTGTTGGGGGCCGGCCTCAGCCGGGCCCAGAATATTTTAAAAAATGACCGTTGCCAGGTTTTGGTCCCAACAGTCTGCCCGGCCCGACCCAGACTGAGAATAAACAAAAAAAGTCACTGTGCCCGTCTTCAAACCCAGGACCGACCCGGCTCGAAGAGTAAAAAATGAGAAAAACACGATGAACTGGACCTTAAGAGGTACGGGTTCAGTCCAAAAACAGTTGATCCGGGTAAGTTCCGGCCGGGTCAACGGGTCGGTTCGACCCTTGGTAGGATTGATTTTAAGAATAGGTAGGATTTTTTTTTTTTCAGAAATAATTTGAAAATTTAGAAAATATTTTCCAAAACTAACCTTAGAGCATTACTCAAAAACTCTTTTCTTTCGATCAATTAAAACATAACTAAACCTTACAAAACATAGATTGGAATATATTCAAGTCTAAAACATTTCAACTATAATAATTTTCACAAACAGATAGCGGAAACATAAAAACATAAGTGAATGATGACCACGCCCGTCCTCTCGTATCCGTTGCCAGCTGCTTAACCTGAAAAACAAAAGGGTGAGCACATCCTCTAGGCTTAGTGGTAAAATTCTTACTATGCATCGATTCAACATAAACACGAATAGGATAATAATCATATGAACATGCAAAGCTTACTGTCTCACTGCTGACTTATAACATCCGACTTCAAGCTCCCAGGTAGACCTGGCTAATCGACTATTATTTCAAGCCCCCAAAATCTACCTGGCTGATTATCTATTATACGCCGTTAACCTAAGTTCATGAACGTTGGTATGGTTACTTACTAGTGCCTCCGGCATCAACTGATCCTGCTAATAAATAATTCTACTAGTGCATACGGTATCAACCGATCTAGCTAGTAGTTAACTTACTGATAATTACCCAATTTATTGACTCTTATTTCAAGCCTCTAGGTAATTTCTCACAAGCATATTTGGCCATCGGCCCGCAATCATGCATATAAAAACTATACTACAACATGTTTAACCGAATAAACCATAGTATAAAAAACCCCCACCTGATAATTGATGATGTGAGAAAAAAGTGCAGATGAAGAGTAGCTGACGTCACTCGGAACTGCTCTCGAGATTCGACTCCTCGAAATCTCTCTTCGGAAAGGTAAGAAGAAAAGTTAGGTCTCGGGGTGATGGCTAAGGCTCTCGGTCAACTAGTTCTATGCTAGGCAGGGTTGATTCTTTCTCAACCATGAATCGCTGCTCTCAATCTGCTGCTGCCCGGCGCTCGTCTCGGTCACGCGCCGCTGTTGTCGGCTCTCCGGCACTGCTCTCGGTCCATCGGAAACGGTTTCTCAGCCGCCGGTAAGAATTCAGCCTCAGGCTTGCTCGGGAAAACTTCTCAGTCCCGGACACCTGCTCTCGGTGATTTTTGGTCTGTCCTGCCGTGAACAACCGCTGGAATTGGTGGCTCTTGGTTGCACGATCTCAGACAGCTAGAACTCACCGGAGCCTGGTCTCCAATGGCTTCCTTCAGCCGCAGACAGGAGCTACTCCTGGTCGCGGCGCTCGTAAAAAAAACGGGTCTCTTTCTAGATGCTTGGGTGTTCTCGGGTCGCCGGTCCGCACGGCCTTCTCGCCTGAAAAAGCTTGCTCTCGGACAGAGCCGTTTCGGGTCGCCTCAGCAACGCTCGGACCTTGCCAGCCGTGTCTCGCCTGCTCGCAGCCGTTGGGCACGACTCTTTACTTTCGATGTTGAACGTGTTGAACTCATCGATTCTCGTCTCTGTCACGGACAGCTCAGCCTCCTTCACTTGGTCCCTAGGCTGGCGGCTCTCAGTCGCCGGCGGCTGGTCTTTTCAGACGAGGAAGATGATGGAAAAATAAAATTTAACGGGAGAAATCTGAAGTGAAAACTGAGGGGTGGCTCGAGCTCTCGGTCCTTTTAAATAGATGGCATATATTGGAGAATAAAAATGATGCATAGCCAATCTAGTGTACAACTAGGTTGACAACACAAGTGGAAACATCCACTTGTGTATTTTTTTATTTTTGTGGATGTTTTTACTTGTGTTGTCAACCCAGTTGTACACTAAGTTGGCAATGTAGCATTTCTCATTGGAGAAATAGGGCTGCTAACTTAAGGTGAGATGTGAGGAAAAGTGGCCGAATTCCATGGAGGTTGTTAGGCTTTGTTTTGGTCGGTTGTGCAAAAATTGAGAGAAGATGGGATTGGGAAAGTGGTTGCTACTTGGTTGGGCCCGAAAATGGGCTGATAAGGAGCTGCTTGGACCGAAAACATGAGCACAAAATGGGCCGAGCTTAAATGTACTTAATACACTTAGGCAAAAATAATAGCTTCTTCCTTACTTAGGCAAAATTGGGCTTGGGCTTCAGTGCAAANAGAGGACATAAGTATATTGTTTGTCCCATTTTTGTTGCACTTTTTCTTGTTATTTGTCATTTCTTTTTCCCCCATGTTAGGTCTTTTAGTTGGTTTTTAGTTTGTTTTATAGTTTATTTCGTGGTTTACTCTATTTTTGTCTTTCTTGTGTTTTTTGGTTTTTTTTCGTCGTTGGTGTGTAGATCGGGAGTCTCTGGATGATAGGATAACAGAAAAACATTAGTCGGGAAAGCGTAATTAAATAGAGGAGTTCGTTGGCAACACGCAGGAAAAAGCATAATCGAATTTCGAGTCCAAACGACCCCGAACGAGCCCGAGACATGGAGAAGCACCAGCCTGCCCAGACCTCCGCGTGTGCACCGCGCCGCGACGGGCACCACGAGGCTGACAGAGAGTGCAGGCCATGCACGCGCCACGCTGCGGCAGCCAGCACGCCACGGCGCATCATCTCTTCATGGTGCTGGACTCCCAGCACGGCGCGGCAGATCATTCCATCATGGCACGGGACCCTCTTCACGGCACGGCACGACCCTCCATCATGGCACGGGACCATCTTCACGGCAGGGCAATGGTATCCTTCACGCCGCGAGGATCTTGGCACGGCGTGGCACTCCGCTACTATATATATGAGATCGGATCGACTGAACAGATATCTTTTCGACCCCAGACACAGAAAACCCTACCCCCTCTTCTCTTTCATTCGTTTTCTCATCCTTCTTTCATATTTTTCATCGTAAAACACGGATTTGAACTCGGATTTTGCTACCGCTTTCGGATTAATCTTGTGTATCGAATTCATCATTCAATTTCCATTAATCGTAAGTTTTTCTATACATTTAATCCATGGATACGTTTACTTTGATTATGGTGGTTTGTGTTGATAATTCGATTATGAGTAGCTAAATCTCTATGCTAAGGATAGGGGATTAATGTTTTGAAATCGTTTGTGATTGTTGTGCTCGTTGATTGTTCTTTTATGCAAGTTGATCTTTTATAAGAGTTTTCAGTTATCGTTCTTGAGTATTGAGAATTGTTGAAGGGTGACACTTCAACTTCCAATTGTTTTCAATTGAATTCGATTTATTCCTGTAAGATGTTGGGGATTCTATTTGATTAGTCGGTTAACCACCCTCTAGTCTATATTAATCGACTCTTAGAACCTAAAGGGGAGGAGTCGGTCGAAATAGGCTCGTATAAGCTAGGCTTCTTCGTAACTGTATTGCCTAGGTGTTAAATGACTTGTTAATTTGTCGTTCAAGTTTGTTCTCTTGTTACGAAGAGTTATTGAGGATGAATACTTGAACAAGCAGGTTATTCAAATCACTTAATTACCGAACAATCACTTGCCCATTAAATGCAATTCGAACCAAAACGGATATCCCCGACTCCCTAGCTTCTTAAATCTTGCTTGTTCTACGTGTTAATTTGCTATTTCAATTTGCTTAATTTAAATTTTAGTAGTTGAAAATTAAAAACCAAAACCAACCTTAGATTTAGAATGTTTAGGAATTTTATTGCTTTAATTTGTGCTTGAATAAACGACCAGAGTATTCTGACTAACCTTCCTCGAGAGACACGACCCGGTGTTCGAATCTTTCGATTCTACTCCGGTAAAAATACTTACAACATATATACACTTGGAAAAATTTAGGCGCAAAATAGAATTTAACACTTAGGCAAGAAATGTCACTTAAGCACATAAAATGGAACAAAATAAATTAAGCACTTAGGTACAAAATATAAATTGAACACATAAGCAATTAAATTAACACTTAGAAAATTAAAATGATCACTTAGGCACATAATCAAATAATCACTTAGGCATATAATCAAATAAGACACTTAGGCACATCAATCAACAAAATTAAAATTGGTCGCAAAGTACACCCTAGGCACATAAAAGAAATTTAAACATTTATTAAAACAAAGTGGACACTTAGCAAATAAAACACTTAAGCACACAAAATACAATTAAGCATATAATTCACATAAACACACTTAGCACTTAGAACAATTAAATAAAACAAGAGCACAAAGGAAGAACCAAGATTTAAGCTTAGTCGAGCAATGCAAATGCTAATGATTCAATTATAAAGAACGGGGCTTTACACTTCCCCCTAGACAAACATGAACATATTGTTCCACATGCTAAATGAGTGATATTTTACCAGTCCTTCTCGTCAACATCGCCTGGCTTCTCTTCTTCAATGTCAATGTCGACGCTTTGCTGAAATAGACAATCCAACACCTCGCCTTGGCTCCTACCAAATTGATCGGCCCCATCGGAGATCTCCACCAGGAGTTTGACGTTCGACATCACCGTTCTTGCTAAAATGAGTACAGAGGATGATGCGCCCTTGATCTCCTTGGCCATTTCAAACTCGAGTGCAGTGTTCACCTCTCCAAACAAACCACTTCGGCTCTGATACCACTTGTTGGGCTATCACAACTTGCGCAGCGGATAAAAATACCCTCCCAACAAATAATGACAAACACTACTACTAATGAAAATAAGCTGTAGCGCCCCATTTGTTCCGGATTTAATTGAAGATTTTTATTATTATTTTATTTTATTTTATTCTGAAATTATTTATTCGAGCTCGATAATTCTATTTCGGTTATGTGCTCATTATTGTTAATTGTATTAATTTTAATATCGAGTCGAACATTATTATTATTAAACTGCCAGAGAGAAATAATTACTTGATGATGTATTTATTAGTGTACGCTAATAAATATATATTATGTCGATTTTGTGAATTTAAAAGATTTACGAGTCGTCATATTTTATTTTTCCGAGCATTATGATTATTCGGAGTTTATGAGATTGAGCCCGATAAATCAGTAGTTGAAACCAGCCGATTCGTAAACCCGTTATTTACGGATTAATTGAGATTATTATTATTATTATTAATATTATTATTATTTTAAAATGATGTATGTATTAAATAAATATTTCTAGGTTTTTATCGTGCGATTAATTGAGTCCGAGTATACCCGCGTGATCCAAACCGGCCCGAGCTTAACCAGCCCAAGAATCCGATTTTCTCATTTGTTGTGTGTGTATGTGGGATTTTTATTTTGATTGAAAGGAAAGTCAACATTATTACCTATAGATACAAACACGTATCTATCTCCCTCACATGAACATTTTCAATAATAGCAAGATTCTTGATCCGTGAGTTGCGGCAACACATGTTTGTTCTCCTTAAATCCTCTCTGCAAATCATTTTTCATCACCATCATCATCCGATCCTGTTCCCATCTCTTCTCTCTCAAGTTCCGTCGCCATCCCCCATCACTATTGTTACCGGCGAGCTGTCCGCGAGCTCCGGCGACGAGATTTCTCTGCAACTCCTTCCGACGAGCCTGCATCGTCGCGCCTCATCATCACCACCGGCGAGCTCTCCTCCACAGCTATAGCAGCGAATTCCGGCGAGTTCTCCCCTCCGCCCAGCACCTCCGTCGCGAGGGAGCCTTCTCTGACGAGTTTTCCATTTCCGGCGTCCCTCCATCCGAGCAGCAACCCCGACCATCTTCTGGCGACCTTTGCCGGCGAGATGCTACCGGCATGAAGCTAACGTTCGGCCGAGCCGTCGAGCCGACGTGCCGTTCGTCTCTTTTCTTTTCATTTTTCCAAGTCCCGTTCGGCCGAGCCGTCGTTCGGCCCGTTTTTCCTCCGTTAGCTCGTAAATTTTCGAAAGCGGGTAACTTATTCGAACCCTCTCGTTATTCTGGTCGTGTTCGTATATTACATATAGGTATTAGCGATTATTTGTTTGAAGTCGGATTTTGGTTAGAATTATTATCAGCTCGTATATGTCGTTTCGTATATCGTGTTATGCTCGTAACCTTGTTAAACCGAATATCATGTTGTTGCTGTGTTGAACCTCAATGTGCTCATTTATTTGCTGTCGAGAAAGTATATTGATCGTTGTCGAGTTTCGAACCATCCGTTTTTATTCGTTGGTATTTTATGTGAAAATACGTTTTTCGCTGATCTGTTGTGCCGCATTTTAAGCTATCTGAGACTGGTTATTTGAAAATGTGGTCTTCACATGAAATGTAGTATGTTCTGTTTTCTAAACCTGGGCTTTAGAATTTCTCGATTCCGAGCTATATCGATAAAGTTATGATTTTTACAAAAATGTTGCGCGTTTAGTTTTCCTGCTACCCGGCAGCATATCTGTAATTAATGTGTGACCTGTTTATCATGTCGTAATGTGCTCGTATGAACTTACACTCTTCATGGAAGTTATAGATATATTTCTTGCCTTTCAAATGAGATAGATTTCTTGTTGGTACTTGCTCTGTAGCTCGAGTTATGATTTTATGAAGATAGATATGCATGAGTTAGGAATTATCCTGTTGACAGAAATATGGATCTGAATGTTAACAGCTTTTTGACCATTCAAATGAGCTCATATGTTTCGGTGTTCTAAATAAAAGTTGTAGAAAAATTCCTAATGTTTAATTTGAGACT